AGACCAGGCTGGCCTCGAACTCACAGAGATCCGCCTGCCTGTGCCTCCTGAGTGCTGGGATTAAAGGCGTGCGCCACCACCGCCCAGGTTTAGTTCCTTTTCATATGCTGATAAAATACACCCAATAAAAGCAACTTGGAGGAGAAGGGTTTGTTTTGGCTCACAGTATGAGGGTGCTGTCCATTATGGTGACGAGAGTACAGGGTAGCTGGTCCCAGTGCTTCAGCAGTCACGAAGCAGAGAGTGACAAGCCCAGCTGCTTTCTCGTTCTTAGGCAGTTCAGGACCCAAGCTCATGGAGCTGTCTTGCCTGATTTTAGAGTGTCTCCACTGACCTAGAAAGTCCCTCCCTCACAGATGTGGCCAGAGGCCAACTACAATGTAATCTCTCACCGGAGCACCCAGAGGCTTGTCTCCTAGGTGACTCCAGATCCTGTCAAGAGAACAACAATAAGCACCATGGGTCCCGCACTTCTTTTTTGTTTTACTGTGCTGTGCTTTTGTTTATGAGACAGAGTCTTGCTTTGTAGGCCAGGCTGGCTTTGAACTCGTGATCCTCTTGCTTCAGCCTCCAGTGTTCTGGTATCACAGGCATATGCTACCACTCCTGGCTCTGGATCTCAACTTCCTAATGAAATTGACTGTATTTTCTAGTGAGTCTGGAAAGAAGTTTTTGAATGTGACAGTGACAGTCTTTGCTTGGCCAAAGTTCAATCAGTATATTATATGCATGAGTGTGTTAAGCATATCAGTATGCTTCCTCAGAAAATCCAGTTTCAGCAAAGAACGTGACAAAGTCGGTGTACCGAAAGTCCCCACTTTGGATGTCTAATCGGGCCCCTTATCTTTCAACACTCCCCAGAAGACCTCTGATTGTCTTGGCTTGTCAGCAGCAAGCACCGTGGTAGTTTGGCTTATCCAGACTCTTCAATGCCCCAAAGAGTCCTTAGTTAGTCTCCACCCACTCACGCCACCTGCCCCTTCACTGTATGTCATCTCTGCCATGGGGCCTCTGGAGTTGAATGCTGTCTCTTTCCCCACAGCAAGGCTCGAGCGCTGTGCTTCTCACGTTATCGCCTGATAGTGAGTCAGGCCTCTGCCATGTTTTAGTAAATGTCACAGAATGATTTTTAAAAAAAAGTTAAAATGTTGCCATGCAGTATGAAATCCTTACAACGTGTCTGGAAAATTTGTGAAATTTACAAACCAGGCACTCGACAGGAGTAAAGCTCCTTTGCAATGAAAAATAACTCAAAATGGTCTTTACATGAAAGAAATGAAAAGGCTTCTGACTTGATTTTTCAAGTTACTTTATTACTAATACCATTTAGATTTTCAGTCCGTGTCTTTCACACACAGCCTTTGGGGACAGAGAGAAATAGAAATGACAATCTAATTAGCCAGAGAACAAATTTCTTTTTGACAGGAAAGTATGAACTGTGTAGCAGTTACTTCTGCTTTGAATAGAAACCAAGTGTGAAAATCTACTTTTTTTTCCTTAAGAAACATTCTTGCAATTCTTCTCCATTATAACTGTCCCTCATTGATATATTTATTCATCCCAAGTTTGAAGTCATTAATACACATACATATCTATGATTAATAAGTGTATGCTCTCCAAGGTGCATGATGCTGCCAAACATCCTCAAAAACAAAGGGACTAGAATCTGTGCAGTCATCACACTCAGAGTTCAAGTTTAAATCATCTACTAACTAATGCTTCATATCCATGCAATGATAAAATGTTCAAAGTCGATGGGAGGAAATGCCGTATTAACATCTCTAACTGGCATGCTCAACCTTTAGAGCAGGTTTAGTACAAACATTATGTAGCTGCTGGTGACTGAAATGTGTCTGTCTTGCATATCTTTCAAAGCTGCAGCTCTTCTGTACAATCGCTATTATTTGGAAAATGAGACCCACTCATTTTATTCTTGTTAGAACAAGAGTTAGCAACATCTTCCTGACTGTAAGAGCCTGGATCTAAGGGTGGCTGAATGTCAGCGATGGAGCTGTGTCACTTTCTAGTCAGCTAGATGAAAATCCCACAGTGGACCCAGTGCTAATTTGCAGCAGCGTTCTTGCTTTGCAAAGTTATCAACACAGTCTGACTTGTGGAAGCATCACTGTCTGATAAAGACACTCATGTCATCACGAACAAAAGATGCAGCCTTTCTGTTGGGTAGAATAAGTTCAGATAGCTCATATAAATGCTAGTTTGGGTGTGGTACAAGCAGAGGACAAGCGCATTTTATAATAATATCTAAAACATCTGCTTCTTCTGAGTCCAATGAGTTTTAGCAAATAGAGTGATATAAATCAACTGGTGGAAATAAAGCCAAGCACTTACAAAAGAAAGTGGTGGGATAAAGTTTGGACCCAATAAGTAATGTCTTTTCCTTTTTTTTTTTTTTTTTTTTTTGGTTTTTCGAGACAGGGTTTCTCTTGTGTAGAAGTAATGTCTTTTCCATTAAGTCTTCTATTTCTTAAAAAGGCCTAATCAAGAATGACTCAAACACTATGGTTAATTTGAACCTGATACAGATCATATGTGCAGGATTCTTTAAACTCTACTAGCCTGATATTATTCTTTTAAGATTCTGAAAAAACAACAACAACAAAAAAAACAAAACAAAACAAACCAAAACAAAAAAAACCCAAAAAACCAAAACCTATTAGGTGCCAATAATTACATTTTATACTTTAAAGGAATTAACATTATATCAATTTTATATAAATCAACAATGACACTTTTACTGTTGGTTTTTTGCTTTTTTTGGTTTGTTTGTTTTTGTTTTGAGACATGATGTCACTTATAGCCCAGCTGGCCTGGAATTTTTGCAGTCCCTTTTCTTCCTAGACTCGGCGTCTAGGAGTGCAGGCATAAGGCATCACACCTGGCTAGCAATCAAATTTTGGAAAGTAGTCATCCATGTTCTTGCCGCCTAATTGAACAAATTAGTGTCTGGCCACTCCTGCCACCTGTAGAACTTACTGTGATTTCTTCCATTTAAAAAAACAACTTCTAAGGTAAGAGACCATTTGCATCCTCATAGTTCATTTTTAGTCTGTGAAAGATACTACCACAATGATAAGATGAAGAGTTAAAAGGGAAAATAAAGCACAATTATCCCCCTTTTAACAGAGAAGAAGATTAAACACTCAAGAATTTTTAAATTAAAAAATAGTCTGGGTAAACTTGATGATGGCATGAAGTACTCTGAACTCCCTTGTATTGAACACTCAGTGGGTATGGCAGTGAGGAGCAGGCGTTGGCCTGCCTCCTGGTCATGCTTACAAGGCATGGGTGACAGGAGAGGTGAGTCAGCCGTCTGACTTCCTCCGAACAGCCTAGAAGCAGCCCTGTGTTTGCTTCTCTGGCATGTTTTCTGTAACCAAGCAAATGGTCATGAAGAACAACAGTTGCATAGCGACAGGCATATCCATCCACCACTTCCTTCAATCCATTAATAGTTCTATCTTTACATCAACCCTCACTCCACATAACACAAAACCCGCCACTTGGAAATTCCTCTGGGGACCTTTGGTGACGTATTTCATGGCACTGACAACCTCATCCACTCCTAAAGATAATCTGATATTTATGTGATGAGCAAGAGTAAACGATTCATCAAAGATCATTCTACCGAGGGAATCTCACAATATCAGAGTTGCTAAGAACCTAAGCAATTAGGCAATGCAGCCTTCTCATTTGGCAGACGAGAGCGATTGAACTCAAGTCTCCCTGTCTCAGGCTGCTGGCTTTAAGTAGATTGGAAATAAATCCAATGCCTAGATTTGTGCTTCCCACACATTACACTGTTTCCTCCAAAGTCTATCTGAGTTTCACAGTTCCCTGACTCTGACATAGAACATCCCTATTTCAGCCAGGCATGATGCTACCCACCTGAAATCCCAGCACTTGGTAGGCTGAGACAAGATAGCAGTTTGAGGATAGCCTGGGCTACAAAAGAAGTACCAAGCCAGCCAGGACTACATAGCAAAGCACTGTCACAAACAGACAGCAAAAGAAGAAGGGATAGAACATTTCAGTTTCAGCCTTCTAAAACACCTGAACTGCACCTAAAAATGTTCTAGAGAAATATCTGAAATAACACCAAGGAGGTTCTTTTTCTGTATAATTATTATACGTCATGTCAGGCTCACCTTAGGGATTTATTCTAATAGGAAGGATGGGAACTAGCCAAAGGAAAGGCTGGTGGCATAGGGAAGCGCAATGGGGTGATGGGTGGATTAGAACAAGGTATAATGGCACATGCCATTGGCATATTAACAGGACAAAATGAAACCCCTTCCTTTATATGATATGATAACTGAAATTTTTTGTTTGTTTTTTGTTTTTGTTTTTGTTTTGAGACAGGGTTTCTCTGTGTAGTTTTGGTGCCTGTCCTGGATCTCGCTCTATGCACCAGGCTGGCCTCGAACTCACAGAGATCCATTTGGCTCTGCCTCCCAAGTGCTGGGATTAAAGGCATGCATCACCACCGCCTGGCAACTAACTTAAAAATTAATAAAAAGAATTTTATACTCCTTGCTATTAGAACTACTTATAATTAATACACCATATTCTAATAATTCCTTATCGGACTAAGGTGTGAAGAAGATGTTGGATTCACTGTAATTGAGCAAACTTGAGTTGCCTGGGACTCCTGGCAAATGGCATTAAGATTCTAAATTATATATAAGTGCTAGAATACCAATGCAAGGAAGTATTTTTTTGAGGCAGGGTCTTATGTACCCTGGGCTGGCTTCAAACCATGTGCCTGAGGATTATCTTGAATTCCTGGTGCTCTGCCTTGCCTCATTGTGGGTGTTTGCCACCACACCCTGCTCACAGTGACCGTCGGCTTCCAAGCAGGTCCTTAGGCATCCGCAGACAAGGAAGTGTCCCACACTTGTGTGTTTACACACATGTGCACTCAGATAAATGACCCGTGAGAGCCACACAGGACTAAAAGTGGACGGAAGTCTATTAAAGGGGTAAAACACCCTACAAAGGATCACTAACATAAGCCACAAAACCCACACTAGCTTTCATGGTTGGTGTCTCCACCCCCTTGGGTGTGGGTTATAGTTGCAAGCACCTAATGGAAGACAGTATTCAGACCTGGTCTCCATGGACATTATTTGGGGGTCATATCTGGACTCCTGCCTGTAGCACATATATGGCAACTGGGAACTGTATAAGGAGTGGGTAGACATGTGGCTGTTGACTGGGGATGGCGCTTTATACTCTTGCCTTTCAGAGAAGCTCATGTTGGTCTTCTGAGTTTGGGGGACAAAGGACAGTCTCTCTTTCCAGTCCTCTTGGGACCCTAGAAATGCCTTTCTCCGAGCTGCGGAGACTACATTTGCCACAATGGATTCCTGGATGCTCCTGGGTCTGAAGGCATCATCCACTAGACCAAGAGGAGACTTGGATGCTGCTTCCCAAGGTGTTGGCCTCTTGTTAGCTTTCTCCAGCCCGAGGGTCGGCTTGCCAGAGTAACTGTGAGCCGGCTGGTACAACCAAGGAGATGCAGGAATGATGGGTGAGGCTGATTTTCCAGGAAGAGAAAGGGAGCGCCCACTCTCCTAAAAACAAAACAAAACAAAAAAATGTTACTGTATCTCATTCGCTTCTGTTTGTGCTTATTATTGCAAAGCACGCATAGCATCATGACCAAGCCCTGCACAGATTAAAGTTCTTCAGTCCTGGAGCCTGACCGGTTGGTTGTCTTACTTAGCTTATTCTAGCTTGGGTCCGCTGCTGGAGTCCCTCTTTGTTTTTCTCCCTCTCATAGTCCAAACCGTTGACACGTCTTCCCCAGGAGTAACCTCATGGCAGAAACCCTAACGCTACTGAGACCTACCCTTCTCTCTGCCTTCCGTACACCCTCAGCCCACCTGCTCCATTCCACTTCTGTTTTACCTGGCGCAAAATAAACAGAACAGGAATAACTCCAGAAATGGGCCATAAACGCCTATCCTTTTTACCTTTTTCAAGTATCTTTTTGTTTGTTTGGAACCTCCAGCTCGAGCCTGTACGACCTGGAAAGCCCCATTCCCGACTCGCTCTCCAACCCCTGCCGGCTCAGAGAGTCTCCCCAAGAAAGGAAAGGCGCCAAAAAGCCCAGTTCAGCATTCTAGGCGGCAACTGCAGCTTCCTGCCCCGAAGTGGCCAGCCACCCGAGTCCCCACCTAAAGCGCTCAGCTTTTGACCACACTTGGGTACAAACCTGGCTTGTGGCGGACGCGTCATCCCCACCTCCCCTACAACCTATAAAGTCTCTCTGCTTCGTTTGTGGACTCAGCTTCTCAAGCCTCGATGTCTGGGACTGGAGGACTCATGTGGGAGTTGATTTGCTCAAACAAACCTGTTGTTACACTTTTTCAATTGGGCTTGATCTGGCTTACTGCTTTGGTTAAAAAAAAACAAAAACAAAAACAAAAACAAAACACCTATTATGGGGTTGGGGGCAAAAAAACTTATGACTTTTAATTGCTTGACTCATTTTGGTTCACTGAATGCACTAAAAGCTACTTAGAAGTGGTTACTAGTGTGAAGCAGGGACAGGCACCTCTCCTCTCAGAATCTGCTTATGTGATGAGGACCCACGACATGGGTCTTTATTCTGTCTCTGTCTGTCTCTGTCTCTGTCTGTCTATCTCTCTGTCTCTGCCCTCCTTTTCTTGCTTGCTTTAGAGACATGGTCTCACTCTGTAGTCCAGGCTGTTCTCTGGGAAATCTTATGGACGCAGCCTCCCAAGAGCCAGGATTGTAGCCCTGAGGCCCCAAGCTCCTGTGTCTTTTGTTCTCAAGGATGAGGCATAACCTTTGTCTCCAAGGGAGTCACTTTGCTTGTCTCGAGTGCATCTTGGCTCTGTTTTTATTTTTATTAAGTCCTAGAATCTTTCAGAGTTTGACTCTCTGCACATGCCCCTGTGCTTGCTAAATGCTCTGCTTGGCTAATCCTTGGTAGTATGGTTTATGGAAAACTTGCCCCTTCACCCTTCTGCCTCCTTAGGAACCCTAGCCAGGCACTATCTTCTGTACTTTTTCATGTGCTCATTCCTCCTCACATGAGACTCACTTAGACAAACTGCAAGAAAAGGAAGCAAGGGGGAAATGAGCCAACTTTGAAAGTATCAAAGCATTGCTTAACCAGGCATGGTGGTACTGCCTATAATCCCAGCACTTAGGAGCTTGGGAGCTGGAGGCAGAAGAATCAGGAGTTCAAGGTCAACTTCAGTCTCATAATGTGTTAGAGGCAAGCCTGGACAACAGTGTGAGACTTGTCTCAAGAAACCACACACACATACACACACACACACACACACACACACACACACACACACACACACACACACAAAAGGAGAGAGAGAGAAAAGTAGGGGAAGAGGAGACTTGTTGAACAAAAGGCCATGCTTGAAGATGGATTCAAATATCCCAGTTCTGAAACATTTCTCTCTTACCTAAGTGAATAGCAATACTGGATTTGAGCAAATGTCTCAGGCTGAGCTAGTTTCTATTTTTCAGCACGCTCCACCCAATGCCGACACACAGACGTACCACGGGAACTGAACTGATTCTTGATGTGTGGACAAAGAGTAAAGGTGTCGATATAGTAGACGTTGGTTCTCTCCTTTTAGTCACTAAAAATGCCTACGATGCTTGAATCCCACCAAAAACTTGTTTCTATTGATGTCCTTATCTTAATCCCGAGCTCTGGGCAGACCCTCTTCACTACAGAGCTGGCAAGAGCAGATGGGTGCTTTCGTCACCTTTGACCTACATCTACATTTTAAAATTTGACAACAAAATTGCATACATTCTATACTATTGGTGCATAGTTTCATAAACCTATTTAACATCTTTTATGGTACTTCTGAGCACTGTTCTATGAGCTAAAGACACAGAAACAATAAAGGCTGTGCCCGGGAGCACAAGATCTAGCACCATTTAAACCCCCACAGCCTGTCCAATAATTACACAATGAAAATACACTACCTACCTTGACAGAAGAAAAGGTTTTGTTTTGTTTTATTTTTTTTTAAAAAACTTTGAAAAAAGATTGTCTGTGAAAGAGAAATAGCCCCCCTCACAGCGTACGTCTATGCGTCCCTTTGTCAGCAGCTATGGAAGGGGTGAACACCTTGGTCTCCAGAGTCCCCGGGAAAATTCTTAGATTCCAATGATACCTGCAGAGGACTCATGCGGTCCGGTGCAGCCCTCTCAGCACATGCCAGGGCTTACAACAACACAGTTGAGGGGACAGTAGCAGATAAAGGAACTGGGGACTCTATAGAAATACAGGGCAGACTGAATGCACACACACACACACACAGATACACAACACCACACACACACACACACACACACA